TTTGTTGACCAAAAGCAGGTACTATTCGATCGAAAACTGGTACTGCGTAGAAGAAGAAGTGGTACTATGTCTTCCAAAACAGGTACTATAATAGGAATCGTGATTTAGACAATCCTTCATGTCTACCTTGTCACGTGGATTGTGTACGCGTGATCCGGACAAAAAATATCAGAAGTTAAAACATATAAGTACAAATTGGAGTAGTCATGTATGATGATCCTATGAGATGAAGGGTGTCTTTCAATGAAATGAAGTATAGTAGTAGTGTTTTCTTATTACTACCTATATGTTTTAACTTATTAGTACCTATATGTTTGTACTGAAATAAAAATATTTGAAATCTCGTATAAACTAATGTTAGAGTGATTATGAAATCTCGTATAAACGTCAATTGCGTACGAAATTCGGTGTTTTTACGAGTTCCTTACGTGTGGTACTAAAGACCCGATAATTGGTACTAAGGCAGTGTAAAACTGGTATTACCTTTCTATATGGCTGGTACTACTTTTTGGAAATGTTGACCACAATTGAAATAATCAATCTTTGTTGACCAAAAGCAGGTACTATTGGATCGAAAACTGGTACTGTGTAGAAGAAGAAGTGGTACTATGTCTTCCAAAACAGGTACTATAATAGGAATCATGATTTAGACAATCCTTCATGTCTACCTTGTCACGTGGATCGTGTACGCGTGATCCGGATGAAAAATATCAGAAGTTAAAACATATAGGTACAAATTGGAGTAGTCATGTATGATGATCCTATGAGATGAAGGGTGTCTTTCAATGAAATGAAGTATAGTAGTAGTGTTTTCTTATTACTACCTATATGTTTTAACTTATTAGTACCTATATGTTTGTACTGAAATAAAAATATTTGAAATCTCGTATAAACTAATGTTAGAGTGATTATGAAATCTCGTATAAACGTCAATTGCGTACGAAATTAGGTGTTTTTACGAGTTCCTTACATGTGGTACTAAAGACCCGATAATTGGTACTAAGGCAGTGTAAAACTGGTATTACCTTTCTATATGGCTGGTACTACTTTTTGGAAATGTTGACCACAATTGAAATAATCAATCTTTGTTTACCAAAAGCAGGTACTATTGGATCGAAAACTGGTACTGCGTAGAAGAAGAAGTGGTACTATGTCTTCCAAAACAGGTACTATAATAGGAATCATGATTTAGACAATCCTTCATGTCTACCTTGTCACGTGGATCGTGTACGCGTGATCCGGATGAAAAATATCAGAAGTTAAAACATATAGGTACAAATTGGAGTAGTCATGTATGATGATCCTATGAGATGAAGGGTGTCTTTCAATGAAATGAAGTATAGTAGTAGTGTTTTCTTATTACTACCTATATGTTTTAACTTATTAGTACCTATATATTAGTACTGAAATAAAAATATTTGAAATCTCGTATAAACCAATGTTAGAGTGATTATGGGTCGCGTAAACATCAATTGCGTACGAAATTCGATGTTTTTACGAGTTCCTTACATGTGGCACTAAAGACCCGATAACTGGTACTAAGGCAGTGTACAACTGGTATTGCCTTTCTATATGGCTGGTACTACTTTTTGGAAATATTGACCACAATTGAAATAATCCATCTTTGTTTACCAAAGTAGGTACTAATTCATAAAATACAGGTACTATGTAGAAAAACTGTTGGTACTATTTGTTGTAAAACTGGTACCATTTTATTAATCGTGATTTCTATAATATGTCATGTCTACCATGTCACGTGGATTGTGATTTCTATAATATGTCATGCCTACCATGTCACGTGGATTGCTCATGCATGATTTGATTGAAAATTAGTCAAATTTAAAACATATATGTAGAATTTAGAAGTCATGTATGATCATTCAGTGAGATGAAGTGTAATAATAGTGTTTGTTCATTTGTGTGTTGAGTTCATGACCAATTTGCGATGAAACTTAATTAAACACATTCTAAATCTTATAGAAACTAACTTGCGAGTGATTTTGAGTAATATAAACATCATTTAAGATCGAAATTTAGTAATTTTTTTATATTCATTGGAGTTGGTAATAAAGACCCGATATTGGGTACTAAACTTTCATTTAATGAGTATTGTCTAACTATAGAACTGGTACTAATTTAATAAACATTGACTAAAATTTGAAAAATCATTATTCTTTATTGCAATCCTGAACACCAATACACAATTTCTCAATTTTACCCAAAATCCTAATAAAATTGATGAAGACCAAAGTCCGCCAGAAAATCGGTCACCGGTAGTCAAGGAACTGGGATCTAATTTGCAACCAAGAATCTTCGTCCCAGCCCCGATCGATTTTAAGTCTGCTCTTACGCGATTAGTCCAAATCGGGTCAATTCTATTGGGATATATGCTTCTTCCGGTTTAATCCCATACATTGCATCTCAGCCGTTCGCCCAGCCAAGCCCACACGGGTCTGGTCGTACACTAAAACAAATCAAACTTAAAGCGCATTCCAAAAATCTCATAAACATCTCATTCATACTCATGAAGGTGATTTTCAAAACTAATGATTTTTTTTTTTCACACAATCACCAGCCTTAAAAATAAAATGAAAGACAATGGCAAACACTTTGTTTAACCCGCAAAAACCAAAATGTTTTGGAAATGTTCATCACAGACCCGTGACCAAATGCAAAACTTCCAAACATCACAAGAAAGACAATCAATACGAAACACCAATTAAAGTTTTCAAAATTCTCCCAAAGAAACAAAAGTAACAATTCCATTCAATGACAAGATATCTTCAGACTGAGAGATTTATGAGACCAAGACCTCCAACTTCCAGATTAAGCTACAACTTTCTCTTACAGTTGTATCATTTGTTGAAATAAATGGATGTTGGATCAAACCCAAAGAACACAATAGAGTACTGATTTCCAGAATGTACTGTCTTTCAAAATTAACTCAAAATTTTCAACCTATGAGAAAAAAAGTCTTTTCGGGAGTTTACAATGATATTGTAGCCAGTGATCACGACAAAATTGACTCGAATGCTCAAATATATTGTTGTTTTGAGTGCTTATTTATTTGCTATTAGTATTTTTGGATTAATCACAAGTCGATGACTCGAAAAAAATGTGACTGCTAAATCAACTTATAAATGGAGCCAGACAGAGAACTTTAATTCATTTCACGAAATCGATGAAAACAAACATATTTGACTAAGCAAAAGCAGATGAATAACATTTATCCAAAAATGAAGTCTTTTATCTACTCAACCATTTTACGTTGACTGATATCAAATGCCAACCACAATAAACCAAAAAGGAAAGCCTTCACATTATCAGCCAATTGAGTTCTTAGCAGCATGCTACTCTATTAAAACACATCATATGAAATCTTCCTTGTGAAAGCTAAAATCCACCAAAATACATTGATAATGCAAATTCCATCAACCGAAAACCGAAAAACAATCACCAATTAATTATGAAATTTCAGAAAAAACAACAATAAGAATGAATTTATCAGATTGAAATTCGCAATTTAAAGCCCCAAATTTCAACACCACAAAAGTACCTTCGAACGACGAATTAGCCAATTAAAACTGCCCAATACCCCCACCATCGAGAGCGTAGAACCACGCGTCGCCCTCCAGTTCAGCGCCTTGCCCGGGTCAGCCTTGTAATGGGAGCAGATGATTTGTCACCGTCGATTGAATTCCCGGGTTGAGATCTAGGAAGAAAGTTAAGATGACGACGAAGGGATTAGGAAGAGTTTTAGGAATTTTGGTCTGGAGCGACATGTTGCCATTGTGCTTGATGTTCTTCGTTTTATGGGATATGAAGCTTCTGTAGTTTTTGGATCTGAACACGGCGTACAGAGATTTTTGGAGAGAGAACATAAATCTTTTCCAATTTTTTACTGATTTTTGTACAAAATAAATGAATAATAATAATAGTAGTATATATATGGGGAGTGAATTGGAAAGAGAAATCAGTGTTAGAGACTGCAGAGGAAGTAAATTAAGATGGGGGACTGACAAGGAAATTGATTTGTGAATTGGGGATTTATGAGGAATTTTCTGAAAAAAAATGTTAATTTTGACTATAAATTTGAAACTTATTACAACATAAAAAAGTATACTTTGATATGATTAAGCTAATGACAACGGACACAAGGAAAAAGTGAGACCAAGCCGCCATTATTGTCACCAAGGCCTCCACCGTGCTCAATCCTTGCAGTAAAAACGATTTCTTTTAGCCTTGGTCGCAAAAATCCCAATTCTTGTTGTTCTTCGAAGAAGGATCTTTTGCCGGTAATCCGCCGATTGATTGCGATCGTGTTACATTGCACCGGCAATAACCGGCGGGTCTTCTCCTCGATTCTACCTATTCTGGTGAGTTGTGAATTTTTTACTCGTTCTTTTTCCTTTTCCACATTTCGTGGTCAATTTTGTGTGAGGATTGGAGCGACAATATATCTTCTTACTTTTGCCATTTATCCAATTAATGATGATTATCATAATTCATAATGTTTTTAAAATTCTGAATGATTCTGGGTATTGTTCGTTAATTTTGAACTTCTTGATGTCTATTTGTCGGACATTCTTTCTAATCATTGTTTATGTTTTTTGCGTTTCTTGTTCAGTTTTGCTGTGGAAATCTCTAAATCTTCTGTTGGGAGTTAGGGTTTTTAACGACATTTTGGGGATTTTGGAGGGAAGTGGTTACTCATCTAGTGGCTGCGAAATTTGTTGCAATCCCTTTGAAAAAAATAGAAGTGGTTTGCACTACTGAGGTTTGTGGTGATCTTGTTTGGAAGTTTCTAAGGTTCCATTGTTACCTGCCTTTAACTATTGGTTATGACATCATTTTTTAGGAGTTATGATTGTTTTTCTTGTTTGACTAGGCTATCATCTTGGAGAAGTCAAAAGAGTTTCTTGCGTGTGTACTTTGAGGCTGGATTGGGAATGGGACCTATATACTACATATTGATAGCATTGCCATGCACAATTGGGGCAATGGCATTGGCGATTCTCCACATTTACAAACATCTACTGAATTATACCGAGCCCATATATCAGAGATACACTGTCCGTATCATCTTTATGGTTCCAGTGAGTGCTCCCACAATGCGTTGGACTTCTCATTGTGATGTTTGCTAACATGCATCTGTTTGATCCTAGCTGGTGCCTTCTCATTATTTTTTGTTATTTTATGCTTCTTCAATGTAATCTTCAAAGGATCGTCTGTCAGTTGTGTATGGATAAGCTTTTTGAGGAGCAATACTTATATGCCTTTGCGTAAAGTGAATGGGTCATTTGTGTAGGAAGTATGATTGTACGAAATTTATGTGTGTGTGTGACTGTGTCTGACTCTAACTTGGAGTAGGGTTTAAGTAGACGTGTCATTTCATGATTTTTATCTACCCTTAAGTTCCCAAGAATTGAATCTTAATGTATAGCTTCTGCTGTAGTGGATATGATAATGTTGGCAACTAGACAGAAAATTTCGTACCATGCATTGTGTAGAAGGAACAGTGAGTGTCATAGTGAGTGTCATAGTAGGAGAATGCAGTTCTTATTATAAATGACACTTAAAAGAATATCTTTTTGTTTTGGCATCTTTCGTGTACTTTGGTTTACCTTTGGCCTTTCATAACTGAAGTCATACGCTGGGAGGGAAAGAACAATTTAGATTTGGCATTGACATCAAGGAAAAACTTTGCAATGGGCAATGGCTATAATTTTCATAGCCTCAAACTTGAATAGAGGCTTTTTCATTCTGTCGGTTGCTTAATGATTTTGGGACAAGAATATAGCCTTAAAACAATAGAAGCTTGGTCGACTCATTTGACAAATTCATTTGTTGGAAGTTGCGCTTGTATGAGGAAAGGACAAATTCTGTAAAGGCTGTAGTGTATTCTATTTCACGGTCATAGACAGAGCTGCTCCTTTCTCTTTATTTATTTATTGTTTATCTCAATTCCTTTTCGGACTGGCTTAAGCATTTAGCTTTTACATTATCCCTTGTTATTTTTCTAAAGAATTGTAAGACAAATTACTGCATTCATTTGGGTTAGTAGGAACTAATATTCGTTCGAGTATAGTTGTACAATCTGGTGGCTGTCTTCCGTTTTGGTAAAGGATATCCATACATATATGCTGTGTGCTTATCGGAATACAAGTGTATCAACACTTTACTTCCTATAGGCACGGTTGAATGTTTTCTGGCATTATTTGTTGACAACAAAATTAGCATAAGGGATTATATGGTTATGGCAGACTGATGTTAGGTAGAGGTATTAGACTCTATTCTGGTCAGACAATAAACAATCTCAAGGATGGTTGTAGATCCTCCTATAGTAAGCAGAATAATTAAGGCTGAAGTAAGAAGATAAGTTGTGAGGCTAGAATGGAAAGCTACAGAGAATATAGATTGCTCTATCCTTGTAAGGGCTGGTGTCAAATACTTGACAGAACTAACAAGTCATGTTGTTTTAATCTTTATCATGAGAATATACTAGAGAACTAATTAAGAAAGAGTAAGCAGCTATCATAACACAATCTCCTAGAATATTCAGGATTCACACCAATCATGGTCTTTTTTGTTGTTATATAGAGCTCTTTGAAATAGCAAATCTTCTTTCGTTAAGATATGCCCCGTAAGTTGGTCTTTATGTTTTGTATACTAATTTCAATTGTCAAATAGCATTTTTGGTGTTCACTGTAGATAGGCCTTCATGTTTTTCTGTTGTCTAAATGCTCTTGTCAATGTAGTCTGACCATCATGGAAATGTTTGCTCGACAGGTGTATGCATTAATGTCCTTTTTGTCCTTGGTCCTAAACGAGAGCACAATCTACTTCAATTCAATCAGAGAAATGTAAGTGTGCTGTTGCTGTTTCCTTTTTGTAGTTTTCCCTTTGATCTTTTTCTCTCCCTGAATATGGAAGGTGATCATTTGTGCAGATATGAAGCTTGGGTCATCTATAATTTCTTGTCACTTTGCCTGGCATGGGTAGGTGGTCCAGGAGCTGTCGTGGTAAGTCTGTCTGGCAAAGTTTTGAAGCCAAATTGGTGCTTAATGACGTGTTGCTTTCCCCCAGTTCCATTGGATGGGTAAGTCATCTGTACATGAGCTACTGTTTTTTTGAACAGAAATGTGCATAACTGCTTAAATAAGTTCTGGGATCGATCTTCTAGGTTTTGTGGATCATGTTGTCCATCAGAGCTTTAGTTATTTTAGTTAATAGTGTTTCATGGATTTGATTAAGGTGTAATAGGGGTCGGTGGGTATCCTTCGATATATATTGGGCTCATCCTTTCTTGCTAACTTTCTGCTTTCGTTTCTGTAAGAAATTTCCATCTAATGATGGGGATTCACTACTGTTTCTGTGTCGATGCAACTGAGACAAATATTGTTTGTTAACTTTGGCAGTGAAGTATTATTTATTTATTTATTTTTTATTTCAAAATATATTGTGCTCTTTCGTGTGTGCTGTGATGTGCTCCCTTTTGGGGTGAACCATTTTGGAAGCTGATGTGACGTGCTCAGATTCTTTAAGCTTATCCAAGGGTATTGTTAGGTGGAGGTCATCATGAATGCTGTAAGGAGAGTTGTAGAACCCTTTGTGTATCTGAATTTTTTTGTTTGTTTCCTAATGTCAATGTTTATGTGGACTTTCTGTTTTAGTTGGGCTGTTGTCATTCTCTGCACTAGTGAGTTTTAGAGAAGTGCAAGTCGCTTTCTCTGTGAGGTGTTAATTTTTAAAATTATTGTGTCATATTCTTGTTCACTGCTGGGTAATCGCTAATAAGTTGTTTGCATAATATGTGTTTAGGATGTATTATTTGTGAACTTATGTTACAGGTTTGATAAATGTACCGCACATGTAAATGTGCACCTCGTCTCTGGTTTTGGTTTAACTTGTTTACTGTTGATTGCTATGCAGCCGCTTTATTCGAAGGTGCAAACAAGGGTGTTTGCAGTTTGTGATTCTGAAGCCCATTCTGGTTGTAGTTACTTTGGTACTTTACGCAAAAGGGAAATATGAAGATGGAAATTTCAACCCCTTGCAATCCTATCTTTACCTCACCATAATCTATACGTTCTCGTACTCGGTGGCACTTTATGCTCTGGCCTTGTTTTATGTGGCTTGCAGAGACTTGCTTGAGCCATTCAATCCAGTTCCCAAGTTTATCATAATCAAGTCCGTCGTGTTTCTCACATATTGGCAGGTAAAATACTTGTAAAATATCAGCAAATACAAACAAGTGGCATGGAAGTTTGCTTTCTTATATTGCGATACTGAAAAATATATTGCCCTGTTACTTTGCCTTATTATGAACCCGTGTTCTGCTTTTTTTTTTTTTTTTTTTTTTTTTTTTTTTTTTTTCTGATTGGCTTAGGACATTCTATTTGTTTCCTGGTTATATTGTGAATATACATGTCCAGTTTTTCATATGTTCTGGTCTCTACGGCGTAATAGAGTATCACTTTACATAAATGAGTCGGGCTGCGATTGGATATTGAAATTTTTCAAAAACATTTGTCTCGTCCGATAATAGAGATGGAACAGTGGAAGAAGAAAACAATGAGTTAGTTTGAGATTGTGAACGGATATAAAAATAATTATGTAATAATTATAATTGTTGATGCATGATAAAAATGTAATGATCATAGTTGGTGTCATATATAAATAATAGAATATTGATAATGATTTGCTTGTTGCAAAATATGTGAGTGGGCGATTAGTATTTTTGTTGGAAAATATATAATAATGATTAAATCTTATTTTTTTGATGTGGGATGGTGTGATTTTTTGCTTTTGTATGGCTTATGCTACTGGTGTATTGATGCAAGTAACTGTACTCTTAAAAACAAATGAAAGCACCATGGGCCTTCTACAACTGTTTTCATGCTGATTTTGTTATCCACCGAGCTTGCTCACAAAGTTGTTTCCATCACCCTCTTAGAACTCGGCAAATTAGCTGTATTGAGACTTGTTGCTCACAACTCATATATATTCATGACTTGTAAAAGAATTTGTCTCTTGCAGGGTGTTCTAGTCTTTCTTGCTGCAAAATCTGGATTCATAAAGGATACTAAGGAAGCTGCAGATTTTCAAAATTTTATAATCTGCGTTGAGATGCTTATTGCTGCCATTGGACATCTTTATGCCTTCCCCTACAAAGTATATGCTGGTGCAAATATCGGCGCTAATCGTGGCTTCACTGCAAGCCTTGCACACGCGCTGAAGTTAAATGACTTGTACCACGATACAGTACACCAGGTAATAATTTGTATTGCAATATTATTATTATCTGGGTTAAAAACTATTAATGGTAGACTTCTCATTTCTTGATGCAATAGTGATCTGACTCAATTTTCGCACAGTTTGCGCCAACCTACCATGATTACGTGCTGTACAATCCTAGTGACAGTGATGATGGTTCAAGGAAGTACAGGGCCCGTACTTTTGTCCCGACTGGCCCAGAAATGGATACTGCCCGAAAAAGCAAAAGCACGTTCGGGAACAAGCTTGAAGACATACAATTGGCAAGCCTATCGGATTCAAGTGGTAGCAGCCTCGAAAGTTCGCTCAACGATATTCTGAAATTGGACGTGATCAACACATCATCTCTAATCGATGTATCGAATGATAATGCCACTGGGGCTCAGGATCATGCACTTATCGAAATAGATATGTCCAATTACCCGGAGAAAGTGCCCCCAGCTAATGAAGCTGATACTTGTTGAACTGTTATCGAAATAGACATTTTTTTTTTTTTTTTTTTAATTTTTAATTTTCTTTGTGGGCTATCGCATTGTTTTCAATTTGTCATTAGATTTTCTGACAACAGGCAGTGTAAATGTAAGTGTTTTGATAAAAAAATGTGAGCTTTTATATTGTACATGAAATCAGTTTCAGGGTGATTGTGTATACGTGGTTCGTTTTGGTTTTGCTTAATGGATTATCTTCATGCAGTTTTCTTCATTAAATAAGTAATATGCTCCCTCCTCTCTCTAACATTCTCTCTCTAAAACCTCATCTCTTTCCCTCCTCCCCCTCACCTCCCACACTTGCATTCCGGCCACCCTGCCCAGCTAGGCCTCGCCGGCGCCCGTCGTCGCCGGTGGTGTGCCGCCCGTCCGTGGGGCCAGGCCCCGCCTTCCTCCTTGTCAATTTCTCCCCATTCCTCCCCCACCACCTTATGGCTGCTCCGCCTTCTTCGACACCCACAACCGGCACAAAGATGTCACCCTCCGGCGACCTTCATGCCCGATTTTCCTCCTGGACTTCCAACCTTAAAAAGGCCACCAGAACTGCTCTTCAATCGATCGATCGATTTCAACCTCGAGGAGGCTGCCCGCCGACTATCACAACACCGCAACTCGCAGACGGTACCCCTCCCGGAAATTCTGCCCCACCTTCCGTTATGGTCACCCCGGCCGATCAGTATGCCGGAAATCCTTGGACGGAACACTCGACTATCACAGCCCTCCACACGGCAGAAGACACAAACTTTACATAGTTAAACCCTATCCACTTGGCAACCGACTTATCCTCAACTCACCTCCAAATGGACCGAAATTTTGGGCCAATTCCCAGGCCCACCTCAGAACCCACCCATTTGCCTGAAGACCACCTCTCAACTATACACCACGTGGGCCGAATTCCTAGGCCCAAATCTGACTCCTCTATTCCCCTCTGTGGGCCGCCTCCTCCCGTTACCCATTTCCCCTCATTACCCAATTCCCCTACTTTTCTCAACTCCTCTCATCAACTAACATGGCCCAATCCCCCAACAGGCCCAAGAGATATTTTCAGAACCAACCCACAGCAAGGTCGACGACCCTTGCCCCCGCCGGTAAACCAGTCCACGGCGGTCACCAGCCCTCCATTGTCGGACGTCACCCCAACCTCCGATTCCGGCAACGGCGCCGAACAACACCAGATGGACGACAACCCTCTCTCCTTCGTAGGTTCCTCCCCCGCCACGGTGTCCGCCTCCGCGCCAGAATGCTCACAAGCCGGCCAGACCTCTGTTACGGCTGGGCTATTAGGACGTGGACTTACACGACAAGTACCTCACCACCGGAGGAACTCAGCAACCGCACGCAAAGGGACAACCCTACCCAAGGACCGAACCCGGTTGTCCCCCCTCTCAAACCGACGAACCAAGGCACCCAACCTCTCAGAGCACGTTCTTTTCGAGATGCGGTATCGGGCATATCCACCGCCAAACCGGGACACAAAGGACTGACGTTGGAGTCCTTTCGGGACATACAGAGCGGGACCATCACTCCCTCCGAGGAAGGCAGGTTCAAGGTAAGTTTCCCTGAGCCCACTGTTATTTCCCTAGCTGGGTCGTTAGATAATGCTCTCATTTTGAAGTTTTCCTTTACTGTCCCTTCCCTCCGGGATCTATCTGTTGGTTTGGTCAAATTGGGTTTAAAGGGTAGAGTGACCCCTAAGTTCCTGAATTATAATAATTATTTACTCCTCTTTTGATGATGATGACCTATTAGCGGATGAGATAGAGTCCCCCTCCATACCATTGTGTATCGAGGCCCCCATTCCTCCTCAGCTCTCATGATCGTAGAGACCTCCCCCCACCTTACCTCTCTCCCTTTCCCACCAGCTCGACCCCTTCTGACCCTCCCTTCCACTTCCCCTTCATCCCCCGCTAGTGGGTCTGGTCCATCTTCACCACAGGGCCAGGCGCAGAGCTCCGAGGGATTGGAGCACCTACAGCTCATCCTCTTACCCCAGGAGTTTCCCTCTTTACGAGGGGGACCTTTACAGGAGATCCCAGATCACAGGATACCACATACCAGATCGATGACTGCACAGCTCTCTGCTAGCCGAGCTCTGACTCTACCAGACATACAGACATAGCCTAACCACGGACAACTCCAGTTAGGTGGCCCCACTGACGTTTGACATGTCAGTCACATCGCTTACATTGAATGCTCGTGGTCTGGCTAATAGGACCACCCTTGCTCAAGTTAGATCTCTCATTCGTGAGCATAACCTTGACTTTGCGGATTTCTTAGAGCCTATGAATCGTGACCCTTATTTTGATGTATATTCGCGACACCTTGGTTTTCATGCCGGGATGGGAAACACCTCTAACAAGATTTGGTTTTTCCACTCGCGTGACTTACTTGTCAGATCCTTTGATATACTGATCAAGTCTTGCACGTGAAGCTCACCGCCGCCCATCCTCCGGAGCCGATCTTCCACACTCTGGTTTACGCCAGCTGTGAGGTTTGGTCGATATGACTTCTGGGACACCATGCGTGAGATTGCTGACAGTATGGAGGGATTACCGTGGATGATTAGCGGTGATTTCAACATATTCTTTCATCCCGATGAATGCATTGGTGGTATATCAGACCACTCTGCAGAGATCTTAGATTTCTCGCATGCTGTATCGGATTGTGAGCTCATCGACGCTGGTTACGAAGGGGCTCCCTTTACGTGGGAGAGGCCGGAGTCAAGGAGAGGCTCGATCACGCTCTCTACTCAGAGGCGTGGACGAGGGTGTTTGCGACCATGGTTGTAACGCACCTTCCTCAAATTGGATCCGACCATGCCCCCCCTTCTAATTCGTTGTCCGTTCTCTACTTCCCCTCGGCGAGCGTCCTTCCGTTTCCAGAACATGTGGGTCCGCCACCATTCTTACTACGATACTGTTAGAGCCTCCTGGCAGCAGGCTACGCACCTCTATGGGATGCGCAACCTGGAGGAGAAGCTCAAGAGACTCCGCCGCGTTTTGAAGGAGTGGAACTGGACGATTTTTGGTAATATTTCTCAGCGCCTTACTGCAGCTCAGACTGCGTATGCGGAGGCGGAACGGACCTATGATTTGGATTCTTCGCCAGAGAATAGGTCCGAGATGCGCCGCTGCCATGCTGAGTACCAGTTGCGCCTCCTCATGGAGGAAGATTTCTGGAAGCAGAAGGCTGCTGTGCGCTGAGTGGATGAGGGGGAGCGTAATACCAAGTTCTTCTAGCGATTTGTGAGGAAGAAGCGAGTCAAGTCGTATATCTATAGTGTCGAGGATAACGGGTCTTCTGTGACCCAGGAGTCCCAGATACGGGAGTCGGCTAGGGCTTACTTCCACTCTCTCTTTTTCTCTGAGCGGGATTTGCTTACGCACCCCGACCCGACCCTCTTTCTGACCATCCCGCAGTCGGTCGACCTTGTTGACCTCTGTGACCTCCCGAGTAAGGAGGAAATCAGGGAGGCAGTGTTTGGGATAGATCCCAACAGTGTCTCCGGACCGGATGGGTTTTTGTCCCTCTTCTTCCAGTCTTGCTGGGAGATCGTGGGTACTGACGTAGAGGAAGCTGTGAGGGATTTTTTCTCTGGCCACCAGATGCCAGAGTCCTTCACGGCAACCTCCATCATTTTGATCCCGAAGAGATCGGGACCTAGTACTTGGTCTGACTATAGACCTATCAGCTTATGCAACGTGACTAACAAGATCATTTCTAGAATCCTCAACAGTCGCCTCGTCCCTCTTCTCCCCCACCTTGTCTCTCCGAACCAGAGTGGATTCATCAAGGATCGAGTCATTAGTGATAATATCCTACTGGCTCAGGAGATGATACACGACATCTCTCATGCGAATCGAACACGAACCCCGAACCTTGTGCTGAAGCTAGACATGGCCAAAGCATATGATAGGGTCGAGTGGTTATTTTTCAGAGAGGTATTGTCTCGGATGGGATTCTCTAACCGTTGGATTAGCTTTGTGGAGGCGTGTGTGGAACACTACACATTCTCCGTTTTGATTAATGGTAGCCCCACGACCTTTTTCCCTTCTACCCGCGGCCTGCGTCAAGGGGACCCCTTATCCCCCTTTTTTTTTTATTCTAGTGGCTGACTATCTCTCTCGCTGCCTTGACGGCTTCATTCGCAATTTTCCGAGGATGACCTACAGCATGCGTGGCTGTAGACTTTCTATTTCCCACCTTTCTTACGCGGATGACATTATCATTTTCACTCGTGCGAATGATAATGGGCTAGTTGCTCTCATGAGTCTTTTGGACCACTACAGTGAGACATCTGGTCAGCTAGTCAGTGTTAGCAAGAGTACTTTTATCATGGACCACCACGTTGCAGACCATTGGGCTCACCAGATTCACGAGCGTACTGGATTTGCTCGTGGGGACTTACCCATCCCTTACCTTGGGGCCCCCTTGTACAAAGGCCATCTTTCCCATGAGCTTTTTATTGACGTCCGTCAGAGGATGATTGACACGATTTCTGGCTGGTCACATAGACACCTATCCTTCGGAGGTCGACTTGCTCTGATCAAGAGCACTCTTTGTGCCCTTCCTCTTCACCTTCTCGCGGTGCTTGACCCCCACCAGTCTACGATTCATGAGTTAGATCATATCTTAGCCCGCTATTTTGGAGCTATGGCGAGGGCCCGCGAGGTCGGCGGTAGACCCACTAGGTGAAGTGGGACTCCATCTGTCGTCCCCACTCTGAGGGTGGGCTCGGGGTTCGGCGTTTCTCTGATATGGTTACTGCGTTTTCCTACAGGATGTGGTGGCGCCTCAGGGAGGGCAAGTCCCTTTGGGCCCAATACCTCCTGAGAAAATATTGCCCTGGTGGTGCTGCTCATCCTTGCAGGGTGACAACCACCGCTCGGGATAGTCGATAGTGGAGACGTCTCACCACTGTTGGCAGACGTGCTAAGAAGCACATCTTTTGGACCTTGGGTCCTGGGGAGGTTAGCTTCTGGGATGAGTGGTGGTTCGGCGAGGCCCCTCTTACGAGTACTAGGCCAGTCACTCACCTGCATTTCATGCAGGTGAAGGACCTTTGGACGGGAGGGTTTTGGGATATAGATAAGATGGAGGATATTCTTGGTAAGGGTGGGGGTTTTAGTAGTCTAGAGATTGACCACATCCGACAGATTCCCATTCTGGAGGGAGGTTTGGATGGCATGAGGTGGAGACTTACATCTTCGGGTGCATTCTCTACGTCATCAGCCTGGGGAGAAGTGAGGCTGGGCAACCGGCCAAACCGCCTCTTCGGGGCCATATGGACCGACCTTCTTACCCCGACCATTTCCCTTTTTTTTGTGGTGCCTCCTCTTACGGCGCATTCCCATTGACACTGTGATGCAGGCGAGAGGGTTCTCCTTCCCCTCCCGCTGCCATTGTTGTGCTGAGACCGGTACCTTTGAGATCGAGACTTTCACCCATCTTTTCCTTGAGAGTGAGACTGTGAGGAGAGTGTGGGAGCACTATGCCAGATATACTCATATACCCCAACCCACTACAAGCAGTTTTTTTGAGCTTCTGAGTTTTTTCGCTCACCGCACACACAGTAGACACGTGGGCTTCCTTATTCCTTGTCTGATCCTATGGGCCACCTGGACAGAAAGGAATAATGCGAAGCATAGGGATATTATATTTTCTTGTGCTCACATTATTTTGCAGGTTGACAGAACCCTCTCTCTCCTCTCCGCCTTGGGTAGACTCACGACGAGAGACTGGACAGGGTGTACACCGCCCCATCGTTTGAGGCCACCACCTCCTTTACCTGACCAGCATCCACGACCCAGGACCGTTGTTTGGCTGAAACCCAAGGCCCCTAGGGTTAAGCTAAACACAGATGGCGCTTTCGACAGACACACCGGAGCTGCTGGAGGAGGGGGCCTGATTAGGGATCATGGTGGGGCACTCATCTCTGCCTTCCATGGGCCACTCCGGGCCTCCTCGAGTTATGATGCAGAGATTCAGGCGCTCCAGATTGGTCTCGAGATTGCCGTCTCGATATTCTCTCATGTTTCCATAGAGATGGATGTTGCGGCTGTCATCACACTTTTGACATCTGGCCACCAGGGCTCATGGCAGATCCAGCATCCTCTTATGCGTATCAGAGACACCCTCCGCTCGATCCACTACCAGGTCTCACACATATTCCAGGAGGGAACCGGCCTGTCGATTTCCTTGCTAGCATGGGGCATCTATACCCCAGAGACGCACCCTTCTCCCTGAGGACATTCCCTCCGACTTCGGACGCTCATTCGGATGGACCAGTTAGAGTACCCATCCTTCAGATTTGGTCGACCGCCACCTCCTGCCCCTGACTAGACCTGACATTTTAGACTCCATGTCAGGTCACTCTGACCATGATGACCTTTTATGAGGATTTGATTTTAGATCCACAGCAGATATTTTTGTGATCCTTGTATTTTCATTTTATTTTATTTTATTTTATTATTTTTTATTTATTTATTTTTTTTATTTTCTCTGGTTTTGATGTTGCTCTATGTATTTACGACTTGGATGTAGACCATTTACTTTTTTAGCCCTAGCTGGGCCATTATATTCTCAGGTCGGGAGTGTAGCCTCAACCCCCCATCCCAAGCTGGGATGTTTATATAAAAAAAAAGGGTCAAAATCTTTTTCACCCTGTTATAAATCTATTCTTTCTTTTACAAACCGCCCCATCAAATAACTTCTTTTACACCCCAAAACTCACGAAATGCTATGCGATATTACAGTCGCATGTCAAAATGAACCAACACATATCCAAGCGGACGCATAATCTATGACTATGCGAAAACATTTCGCATTTTTGTAATCACATATCCACATCAAACACATCATTTACAAATATGCGAACATCTTTCGCAGTTTTAAGAATCGCATATCAAAATCGAATGCAGCATAATTTATGATGATTATGCGCCTTATTTCGCAGGGCTATATCGACCTTGCAAATTTATGACTGTGCGAAAACGTTTCGCATATAATCGCATTATTTGTTGAATTCGCATTTTCTGGAAATTGCATATCCAAGTCAATCGCATAGTTTACTGGTATGCGAAAAACTTTCGCATATATCCGCCGGATAATTGACAATGATGCGACATTTTTTCGCTCGCATATTGAAGAATCGCATAACAAAATAGAATAAAGCATAATTTAATTGATGATAACACACCATTTTTTTCGCAGGGCCATATCGTCATGGAAATTTTACGACTATTCAGAATTTGATCGCATATCTGTCACATAAGTTACGCACCTCATTAATTGACTGCTTTTTCACAGGTGAAAATTTTGTTTGTGCATTTATCATGCAGGCAAAAAAACAGTGATCTCTAATAATTTAACGCCTGCACCATTCTTCTCTACTGCAATTTTCTGTTTCTTTCGTTTTAATTCCTTTTGTTGTTCACTTATTTGAATGGCTAGCACCCGTGTTAGAGTATGCGTGAGCTATGGTGGTACGTTTTCCGACAAGATCATTTCTTGGTGGAGTGGCAGAGCTGATGAGAATAAATTACGGCCGACAAATGTATTCTGAAGTAGTTTCTCGTGTTTAAGCATTATTACCTTGTAATTTTGAGTACTTATTGTGGGCAGTATTTGATGGAAGGGAACGAAAAGTGAAGATGAAAATTGAATCCAGTGAGGATATCTTAGAGCTGATTGAAGAACAAAAAACTCACAACATTTACGTAGAGTTGGAGAAGCGAGTAAATGTAGGTGTTCCGGGGACGGCGCAACAAAGCTTCACGCAAATTATGGCGTCCCAAGGTGTATTTCCGAGTTCTTTTGGTGTTGGTAGTTCTGCATTTTCCCACGAGGCCCCATATTCACATCAAGCAGGCCCTAGTTCATTTACACATACTGGATATCCTCGGGACGCTGATGATCAAAACGCGGGTTGTTCGAACCAACCAAGTCATTCTCGTGACGATGACAATAATGATGACCAAACCAACACGCACAATGGTGACTCAGGCGACGAAGAAAAAGAGGTTATGAGAAACAAATGTTCAAGCTTTTCAGGGCGTGGTATAGCGAGCATATTGAAGAGCTAAGATTAATCACCGAACATATTGAAGTTGAAAGTCTTGCATATATGAATCGAGGTAGCACCCGACAATCCAACGTTGAGCCATGAATGTGGTCCCTTCCTATGCCGCCCATGACAACTGGATCAGATAGACAACCCATCCACTTATCCTCGAACAATATAGAATTATCTTTGGGGTCTGTCTTTCTTTCGAAAGAAGAGTTGATTTGTGCCATTCAACTGTATCACTTGCAACAAAAGGTTGAGTGTCGAACACCCAAATCCTGCACTTCTAGGTTAAAATCTGTTTGTCGGTATGAAGGGTGTTCTTACAAGTTATGTGCAAGGGCAAACCGAGATGTATGGAGAATCACTACTTTAAAACTCGAGCATACATGCGAAGGGAGTTTGACGCACAATCGACACCGTTCGGCTAATTCCAAGGTTCTCGCTCATATTTACGCATCAACTATTCAGAAAAATCCCCAGACGGTATCATATTTACGCATGAACTATTCAGACAAATCCCCAGAAAGTATCTACACGAAGAATTATTGAACAAATGGGGGAGGAGCATGGTTTGTCGATCAGCTACAATGTGTCCCTCCGAGCAAGACACCGTGCTTTTGAAAAAGTTTATGGAGGTCATGAAGAATCATGGGGGCGGCTTCCCGGTTACTTGCACATGCTGCAGGTTCGTAATCCAGGTACAATTGTCGAACTGCAACGAGATGGCGAGGTATTCCAACACTTGTTCTTTGCTCTAGGAGCTAGCATTGAGGGCTATCAACGAGCTGGTGTCCCGGTAATTATGATAGATGGTACCCACTTGAAAGGAAAATAAAAGGGCATTATGTTTGTTGCTGCCATATTGGACGGGAATCACCAAATCTTTCCCCTCGCAGTTGGCATTGGTGATGTAGAGCGTCGTGAGACTTGTAGTTGGTTTTTGACTCAATTGAAAAGGGCCTATGGTTGTCCTTATAATCTCCTCATCGTATCGGATAGACATGAGTCTATCATATATTCTGTCCCAATAGTGTTCCCCGAGGCGCATCATTCATTTTGCTATTATCACAACACAAAACAAATGAGGCCTTTTGGGAAATCTGTCTTGGGCATATTTTACAAGGCGGCATATTGTTATCGGCGTGAAAACTTCTATCGTTACTTGTCATCCATCCAAAGCCTAAAACCCGAAGCATTTAAAAAGCTAACTAATGAAATTCCGGTAAATGCTTGGGCGAGGTGTTTTACACCTGTACGGCGCTATGGATTCATGACATCAAATTCATGCGAAAGTTTGAACAACAAACTCCGTTGGGCCAGGATGTTACCCGTTTTCTCGTTGTTGGAGTGTGTTCGAGCAACGATAGAGAAATGGTTTGTTGTTCGGCGTGCATCCGCCGAGGGTTGCAATCATCCGCTAACGCAGTAGACTCAATTGCGGTTGGATCCTTTGTTCGAGAAAGGCCGTACTCTATCCATTACCACACTCGGCATGCAACGTTATAGGGTTATGAAAGAAACACAATCCTACGTGGTAGATTTAGAGGCAAGAACATGTGATTGTCGTGTGTTTGAAACAAATCTACTACCTTGCTTACATGCATCTACGGCTATTCGGTAATGTTTACCAAACGACATTATCGCTTTTTTCTTTAAAAAAAAAATAAAATTACTATAAATATGATGTGCATTTAGGATATGTAACATGGAAGCCGAGTTAGATATAATGGATTTTGTTAATGACTATTACAAAACCTACTCAGTTGCAAGGATGTACCAAAGCACTGTTAGCCCCGTCCCGCATCCAGATGAATGGCACTTGCCCCTGGAAATTATGCGTATAAAGGTAATTCCGCCAAATGATCCCAAACAAGCAGGTCGGCCACGGACTCAACGTTATTCCGCTGGAGAAGGATCATCACGTCGAGTACGGCGTCAGCAGATGTGCTCACGGTGCGGGGTCACCGGGCATAACAGGGCGAAGTGACCTCTATACGATGGTGATAATGACTTTTTTTTTTCAAATGAAGAAGGTTAAAACGCACCAACTCCTCATCCAAGACGCCCGAGGAGATGTCGTACATGTAAAGAAACAAGTCACAAATCGTCATCTTGTCCATCACGTCCAATCCATGACAATTAAGATGAAGATGGAGTTTTTAATTGTAAACCAATTTAACGAAAACAATACTTTTAACGGGAAAAATACTGTGTTGGTGCCCTAAGTTGTGACCTGCACACGATTTACTAACAAAAATTAGTGAAACTAGGTTGATTGCGCAATTTGCATAACATGTCCCATAATAATCGCACAATTGGGTTGATTGTGCGATTCCCATATCATATCCCATAATAATCGCACAACTGGGATGATTCGCCTAGTCTTCAACCGCATAATTAACGAATCGTATATCCAAATCGAAAGCCGTATAATTTACGACTATCCGCCATTTTTTTTGCATATCCATATGGACCACATTGATTTATTGTCTGAACCGCATATCAAAATCGAAAGTGCTTCGCATATTATTCGCATACGTTACGCACCGCATTGATTGATTGTCTGCACCGCATATCCAAATCGAAAATGCTTCGCATATTGTTCGCATAAGTTAAGATTTGCATTATTTAGGATTATGCGGCATATGTTCGCATAATTTAGATTCGCATATCCAAATCTGTAAGGGTAGATAGTAGATAACTATCGATTATGCATATTGTTATCGCATATTTAAGAATCGCATATCCATATAAAACCTCGCATAAATGTATCAATATGCGAACACATTTCGAAAAGTGTTACGCACAGCTTTTTTTCACCAAATAGTTTTTTTCAATTCATTATTAATTTAGTCAAAGACATTTTCCAAAATTTACCAACTATTCGGAAAATATGGGATGTTTGTATGTCGCAATTTTTTACGTCGGGGAATATAAAATTTACAAAAACAAATATAAAAAAATATGTTATTCGTTATAGTTCGAGTTATGCGTTTTTTATGCGGAAATGTTTCGAGTAATAATCGCAGGTTCTTTCGCCTAATAGTAGTCTTCTTCAATTTATTATTAAATCACTGACAGAACTTAAAAAAAAGCGAGTTGTATAATATGCGACGTATATGCAGAAATGTTTTGAGTAATTAAATGCACCAATTCTGCGAATAATATGCGACGTATATTTCGTAATTTTGCATCGACTCAACTACTTTACACCAATTCTGCGAATAATATGCGACGTATATGTCGTAATTTTGCATCGACTCAACTACTTTACATCAACTAATTTTGTATAGGCGAATAATATGCGACGCATGTACATCGCAATTTTACATGTACTCAACTATTTTACATCGACTGTGAAGTAGTTTACAAGTAACCTTACAATTACTAGATAGAGAAGGCTACAACAGCGAGTTGAAGAACAACTTCAAATGTACCAAAAAAAAAGAACAGCTTCAAAGATCAGAACCAATAGGATGACTGTGCCGAAGCTGGAGGAACATGGGGGGCTAAACAAGTTGGTCCGCGAGATGAACGTGTTCGCCAAGCCATGTTTGACTTTCAATAAACATATTAAAGTCTCAATCTAGTATACCCCGGAAGAACAAGCACCTTCGTCTTTGAAGTGGTGCTCCCTTTCACCGTCGTAGGCGCCTCAATCTAGTAAACCCCCGGAAGACCAAGCAATTCACAGAAGATTCCACGCCTACCCAAACACATGGTCACCTACAACTTTTTCAACCTCCAATTTTTTTTAGCTTACAATGTGAGACGACCATGTGCCTGGGAAGGCCTGGGATCTCCAGGGAGAGTGCTTGGACTTCCGAGGTATACTAGATTGAGGAGGCTACCAAAGTGAAAGGGAGCGCACCCTCAAAGACAAAAGGAGGATCAGGACCCATCTCTCAATTCTTCAACCTTCGATTTTTCTCAACATGTCCGTACAATGAAGAGACTTCATTGACCGGCATGTTGAGGAAAGCGAGAGTTGAAGAATGTTGAGAAAATGGTCCTGATCCTAATTCAATTGTCTCATCTCAGCTACCTTTTATAGAAGACTCAAGAAGACATCCTCCTTGATACGCGCGACGTTATTAATTTGCCAAAGACTGAGAAGACGTTTCGTAGCGACTCTTCAAATTCGCAGAACTGCGAATAAAATGCGATGAATCACATTTCATTCGCATAAATTTATGACAATAAATGATTTTGCATATCTGGTTAATCAAAAAGATATCCATCCTCCTTGATACGAGCGGCGTTATTAATTTGCCAAAGACTTGAGGGGACGGTTCGGAGCGACTCTTCAAATTCGTAGAACTGCGAACAAAATGCGATGAATCGCACTGCATTCGCATAACATATTGACAATAAATGATTTCGCATATCTGGTTAAAGAAGATATACTCAAGAAGATTTCTATCCTCCTTGATATGCGCGCCGTTATTATGCGCCGAAGACTGAGGGGACGTTTCGGAGAAGAGGCGACTCTTCAAATTCGTAGAACTACGAACAAATGCGAATAATCGCACTTCATTCGCATAACGTATTGACAATCAATTGTATTTGATTTTGCATATCTGGTTAAAAAAAATAAGTAAAATATAATTAATTGTTTTTAATGCGCCGAAGGCTGAGGGGACGTCGTTTCGGAGAAGAGACGACCTTTTCCGTAAAACAACTGTCATTTTGCGAGACGAAAAGACGCAACCTGCCAACCTTTATTTCGCAGCACGACAAACAATGTGCGATTAAAATCGCATATCTTTCGCATACCTGAAATTAAGGAGGGAAAAAAATCCCGCCCAATGAATTACTAGAGCAGTGAAATGAAATTACGGTTCAAGCTCAATTTTAGATAAAATGTGGATTATGAGTTAAGGTATGTAGATAAATATTATTTAATGTGATTATGTTTGAAAGTGACAATAGAAAAAAAACCACTTATTAAAAAATATAATAATATTCAAGCTCAATCTTAGATAAAATGTGGATTATGAGTTAAGGTATGTAGATAAATATTGTTTAATGTGATTATGTTTGAAAGTGACAATAGAAGAAAACCACTTATTAAGAAATATAATGATGTTCAAGCTCAATCTTAGATAAAATGTGGATTATGAGTTAAGGTATGTAGATAAATATTGTTTAATGTGATTATGTTTGAAAGTGACAATAGAAGAAAA